ATCCTCCCTCTCCATTTACGCATTTTCATCATGACATTACATCATGCCATATCACGCTACATTTTCACATCTATCTAGCAATATGATACAAAAGCAATACATATCAATGTTAAGCCTATCGGATACTTACGAAGTCCTTTAGGCCGTGTGACTACTCGTTATCGATTTTTGTACCAAACCAGCTAGTTGACTATCAAAGCTATTATATGTCACAATGTGAATAAACCAGTACTCTATATCGCTATACCACAAAGGGAAACCAAAATCTCGATACCTCACGGGAGCCGAGGAGCGCCCCTACCAAATCAATACCTCACGGGAGCTGAGGAGCACCCCTACCAAATCAATACCTCACGGGAGCTGAGGAGCGCCCCTACTATTTAATACCTCACGGGAGCTGAGGAGCACCCCTACCAAATCAATACCTCACGGGAGCTGAGGAGCACCCCTACCAAATCAATACCTCACGGGAGCTGAGGAGCGCCCCTACTATTTAATACCTCACGGGAGCTGAGGAGCGCCCCTACTATTTAATACCTCACGAGAGCTGAGAAGCACCCCTACTAAATCAATACCTCACGGGAGCTGAGGAGCGCCCCAACCAATCAAAACCTCACAGGAGCTGGCGAGCCCCTCTATCGTTCAATAACGCATAAGAGATGACGAGCGCCCCTACCAGTAAATATCTAACTGGAGCTGGCAAGCGTTAAATAAATGTAGCAGAAGATGATTGATAGGCATCAGAGGAAACCGTCGACGCTGTCGAGCATCAAAGAAATACAATAAAGTGAATATTAGAAAAATTACTCGCGTTGGTGAACGCTATATAAAAACGTAAATTTTCCATCAGCAGCAAAGATGATCAAAGAAACAGAAGTTCTCGCTATCGGAAATCTTATACAAACGCACTAAATCATTCGCTATCCTAACATCATCCTCAAAACATATCCTATTTCAAGGACCCTAACACAACCATCATGATACTTTTAGAAAATGTGGTGTCCTCATGAGCACTTTGTATAACTCTTTATACAAAGAGATATACAAAGGGGGGCAACTGTAGACACCACATTTTGTCCGGAGCAACTATCCTACTCGAAATTCGGAAGAATATTCCATTTAAAAATTAAAAATAAAAAAACCAAGTGAAAGTTTGGACGAAGTTGGTTGAGATTAGCAGTGGCAAATCAACAAGTACCAATAATTTCGAAGTCCTCCTTCTGTTTAGTTCGAATATCTGTACTAGGTAGGATTAGCAGTAGCTAATGACTACCAAATTCGCTTTATTTAGAATAACAATAGTACGCCGTCACGACTATACTCGTATTACGGTTGATGATTAGTGACATAGGTTTGAAATTGGTCAAATGAGATAGGAAGACCATATTAAACTTACTCATATTGGTCAATATTGGTCGAAATTCATAATCAAGAACTACTTATTTAAGAAGTTGGGATGTGGGTCACGATCAGGAAAAAGAATAAACAAGCTAGGTGGAAGCAAATCAATTGAATAGTTGGCCATACAATAATTACACGATCATTCTAATTATAAGTCGCAAAAATAATTACATGCATAATTACAAAGTACAAATGTACAACTAATAATTATTACATTTGATAAGGAATTAAGGATGAATAAAATAGGACTTCTTTTTCTTTTGGGCACCAATCAGAATTGGGGGCTTAGCCAATTAAGGCTGTTTGGGCCCCCATTGATCATCATTTTGGGCCAGAAACGGACTAGGGACCTGCAAACAAAAAAAGAAAATGTTAGAAGAGCAACCTAAAATAAAAACCCACAACCCAGGCCCATATTCAGGCCCAATTGACTCTGGTCAACTCTGGTCAACTTGGTCGACCCGGGTCAACCCAATCAAGTATGGTCAGCCCGGGCCAACTCTGGTCAACCCGTCAACCAAACCCATCATTCTTATCTAAAGGAGCAGCAGAGTAGCAGAGCAGCAGAACAGCAGAGTCTCTGCCAAATCTAAAAAAGAAGATTTCGGCCACCTCCTCCAAGAACCAATCCCAAATTGCCAACAACATAAGTGGCTAAGGCTACCACTTCAAGAGCAAAGGAGGAGCAGCCAACACACAGGTATGAACAGTAAAAGGCAGCCATATATAAGGAGCTGTTTTACCCCCAAACAGGGGGAGGAACGAACAAGAAGAACACACAAAAGGGAGACAAAGACATTAAAGCACTAAGCACCAAAAGAGGCAGACCAGAAGCAATAAGGATCCAAAAGGGGCAGAGAGTCAGAAATAGCAACAAACTATCGCCATCAACCTCCACCTAATTTACAACACAGGTTGGTATTTTCTACACCTCATCAACCATACAAGCATCTAGTCATCTATACATCCATGAAGGAAAATTCATTTAACATGTTTGTAAATGATGATTGCTTCCAAATTCATAATCTATAGTTAGGTTGCTTAAGTCTGTACGTGAAGTGGGTATTACAAAATTCTGATCTTTGTGACATGTAAGCCT